CCCTGTCCTCCAGGGCTGCTCTAGTCGGCATCACATGATGGCAGTGGGTGTGGTTTGTGGGGTTTGGGAGCTCCCTGACAGACTCTCTGTCTCTAAGTCTCTGTCTCAGCGTCTTCTCTGTTTATCTTGGTCATTTCAGTTGGTTCACACCTGCAAACCCACACAGGTAACTAGTGGAAAGCATCTTTCCTACTGGGTTAGTGTGAGGGAGCTCCTAAATTTGGGGAGGGGGCAGGGTCATCTTTGGATGCCTTTTGGCAAAAAACTTTTCGGCGCCCCCCTCTCATAACCTGGAACAGGGCCTCTGATTGACGTATGCAGCTTGTACCAGGCCGTGCCTGTATGTGCCATGCTCGGCGGGCATGTAGACAGATGCCTGTCCTTGATGTGGTAGCTCTAATGGCCGTCCTGGCTGTCCTGGCCGCGCTGTACCAGTGCGCAGCCATTCCTGTCTGGTTCGGCTTCCTTTCTCTGATGTCCTCTGAGAGCCGCTCCTGCATCCCCTCCCAGATGCCCCGGGGCATCCCACCGGAGACTCGCCCTGGAGAAGAGGAAGGCTGAGAGTGAGACCGGGCCCGCCCCGCTGGACCCGCCTGGCACCGGCTCCTCAGAACCCGACTGTCTGGGGCCGGGGCCACTGGCAGCTGAGCAGAACCTGACGCCTGCCCTGCTCCCTGCCTGGCCCGAGGAGCCCGGCCTTGACAACCCTGCATTTGAGGAGGGGGCCGGCCCAGATGGTGAGTCGATGCACCTGGTCTGGCGTATTTGCAGAATGACCTGCTTTCAGGTTGGTCACCTTCTGCCCCAACCTCGAGTGTGAGAGAAACAGAACAAAGCTTTATGGGGGTGTAATTTGCACTAGAGAAAGCCCACCCCCTGGAATGTGTGAGGGTGTGTCTGTGTCTGCAGACATCTGCTTGGCATGAGAAGTCCGCAACACTAAGGACAACAAAACCAAGTGGGATCCAGTCACAGGTCGTGTCTGCCCGTGACGGGCACTTTACAGAAAACACCTGACCCCACGCAGGACGGCCACACGCTCACACAGCGGGTCTGTATCCGAGTCCAACTCCACAGCCAGGCCATGTTCCAACTCGATGACCATCCCCCCAGAGCCCCGAGAGTAGCCGGGGAGCTGACAGCACCAGCCTTGTGGTCTGGAGCTTCACACTTTAACCGCTGTAGCACCAGGACTGCTCGCTAACTGAATAACCCGCTCTTGAATCCACAGAATCACACCTCCCCCCTTCATAAATCCTGCTCATATGGCACTTGCAGGTTTGGAACAATACATATATGTAGTACACATTCCGAGTTCCACTCTACATTTAAACTTCCCATTTTCATCTCCTAAGACTCTGTGGGATGCCTTGGTGACATCCAGGGCTGTGCATTAGGTTGCTAACAGCAAGATCAGCAGTTCTAACCCAGTAACCACTCCTTGGGAGAAAGATGAGGCTGCCCTCTCCTGTAAAGACAGACAGCCTCAGAAGCCCACAGGGGCAGTTCTGCCCTGTCCTAGAGGGTCACTACATGTCAGGAGGTAGTTTGGTGGCAGGGGGTTTGGGAGACTTGGTGATAGCCCCCTTTACTGGGGAGCTTGAAGGGACACTCCCTGGACAGCTGTGACACGGTGGCATTTGCAGATGGCTGAGCCAGCCTTTTGGTTTCTCTGCCCCCGCCCTTGAGGCCTGGACATCCCCACCCCACTTAGGTCACCGGTCCACATCCCTACAAGTTCACTGTGGTCAATTACTCCTCCTCTGGAGAGAGGAGCCGTTCAGCACGCTGTAACCTGCAGGTGTGTGGGTCATGCTCTGCCTCACACTGCATGTTTCTGGGTGTTGTCATCACCCACTCTGCCTGGGACAGTCTGATACAAACCCCATCTTTCTTCCGTCTGCCCCTCTGGTTGTCTGTTCAGCAGCCGCGCACCAGCCGCTGGGTCTGCCGGAAGGGGAGATCACGACAATAGAGATCCACCGCTCGAACCCTTACATCCAGCTCGGCATCAGCATCGTGGGCGGCAACGAGACGCCGCTGATCAACGTGGTCATCCAGGAGGTCTACCGGGACGGGGTCATTGCCAGAGACGGGAGGCTACTGGCCGGGGACCAGATCCTTCAGGTGCCCGCTTCCCCTCCCCATTGCTGTGTCTTTCTGTTCTTGTTCGTTGTGGAAAACCCGGCCTGGTACCTCCACCGGCCTTCACGGTGCCCTGAATGCGTGCGAGGACGGACGCGGGCTGGCTGAACTTTGGGAAGTCGATTTTCAGGCCTTTCTTCTGAGTTGGACCGCCCACCTCTAGGGCAACACCTGAGTGCCCAACTAGTGTATCACCATGGGCCGTCCTGCAGAGGCAGCTCTGCGCATGTTTCTGCAGATCAGAACTTGACTGCCCTCTTCTCCCTTTCCCCGTAGGCATGCGGCCTGTGTTTCTTCCTGGTCCTCGGCCAGGCAGCCCTGTTCCTGGCCAGGGCTCCATGATTGAGTGCCTCCGCGGTTCTCAGTCCATTATCCTGATCTCAGGCCCCGTTCCCAGCCACTCCGAGAGTCTGATGTATCCGTCCCTGTCTGTGGCTGATGCCTGGAAAAAGGAGGCTCACCCAGCACTGTGACTCCAGACAGTCTGGATGGATTCTGTTAGGATTTGGCCTTCTCGTCCACGTTTTCTCCCGCCTTTGATTGGGATTCTTCCCTAGAGTCTGTCATCAAAGTGGTCAGCCATGGTAGCCAGGCCATTCAGTGTCTCTGTGTCCAGAGCTTGAATGGTCACCCAGTGTGCGGATGGCACCTGCTTGGAAGAAGAGCAGATCTGTGTGGCAGCTCCGTGAATGATCACGGCATTTCAAGAGATGCCAACAGGCCCAAACCAATAAGACAGGTGGGGTGGGGGCAAGGGGCGGCGGGGAGCTAGGGTAGAGCGGAGGGAGGAGGCCAGTGAGGGAGGAGGCCTTGCTGAGCAGAACGCAGCAGCAGAAGGTGGGGGGCTGTCACAAGCTCCCACCCAGAGCTTGTCCAAACGGAAGTCTGGCCCGCGCTGATCTCGCCTCACCTTCATGGCTGACGGATTAAGAACAGAGCTACGTGTGGGTGCAGAGACCGACCGCCTCATCCGTCTCCCACAGACTGGCTGGTGGGTTTGAACTGCCAACCTGCGGTCCAGGCTTACCCAGGGCGCCTTATGAGTAAACACGTTTTTCAGACGAGGACATGGCCTCAGACACGTGGCCTGAGGCCTCCCTCAGCACTGCCTTTTCAGGTCCCTCAGCTTGGCCACCGCCTCTGCAAGTCCCTTCAGGGTCTCTCCGTTCCCCGCTGCCCTTAGACCAGGCCTGGGGAACTTCCATTTTATCAGCCAAGGCCCACACAGATTCTTGTGATATCATTCGAGGGCCACGCCGGTCAGGCATTTAATGGACTCACCCCTCACGGGATGGCTGGAGCAGCCTCTTTAGTGAGGTGCAGGGGACGGCAGCTGGGAGGGCTGATTCCTTGGACTTAAATAGCTTGCAGGCCTCCTGGTGGCGCAGTGGTTACGAATTGGGCTGCTAACCAGGAGGGCAGCAGTTTGAAACCACCAGCCGCTCCTTGGGAGAAAGATGAGGCTTTCTGCTCCCTCAAAGAGCGACCGTCTCGGAAACCCACAGGGGCCGCTCTACCCTGATCCATAGCTATGAATCGGAATCGGCTCGATGGCAGTGAGGCTATCGGGTGTCCCACCCCTGCCGTAGTGCCGCCACCTTAGTGAACTCCAGCCCCCTTGGTGGTTCCTCTAGGCACTGTCCTCATGTTCTCTCTCTCCTGCCCCCCCCCCAGGTCAACAGCTACGACATCAGCAATGTATCCCATAACTATGCCCGGGCGGTGCTGTCCCAGCCCTGCAGCACCCTGCAGCTGACCGTGCTGAGGGAGCGGCGCTTCGGCAGCCGCGCCCCCGGCCCCACCGACGCAGCCCCCCGGGAGGAGCTGCTGCAGGTGGAGCTGCACAAGCGGGACTCGAGCGAGCAGCTGGGCATCAAGCTGGTGCGGCGGACAGACGAGCCGGGTGTGTTCGTCCTAGACCTGCTGGAGGGCGGGCTGGCCGCGCAGGACGGGCGTCTCAGCAGCAACGACAGGGTGCTGGCCGTCAATGGGCGGGACCTGAAGCACGGGACCCCGGAACTCGCCGCCCACATCATCCAGGTCAGCGCACAGGCGACCAGTCCCACCCACCGCCACCCAAGGGGACGGGAGGGCTGCCCTGGGGGCTGTCCCCTTGGTGAGAGCAGAGCTGCCCTGGTGGGGTTGAGCCGACAGCCTTCTGTTTCGAAGCTGAGGACTTCACCATGTGTCCCTAGGACCCTTGGAGGTCGTGGTCTCTCTCGGACTTGCCTCCATCTCCCAGGGATCCTGTAGGGCCGGGTGGGACCGCCCCTGTGGGTTTCCCAGGCTGGCACTCCACGGGAAGAGAAAGCCACCTCGTCCTCCCATGAGCGCCTGGTGGTTTCGAACTGCCGACCTTGTGGTGAGCAGCCCAAGGTGTCTGTCACCTGCCGCAGCACGAGGGCTCTCTGTTGTCACAGTGTCTAAGCCAGGGTTCCTCAAATGTTTTAAACGGGGCCAGTTTACTGTCCCTCAGACCCATTGGCGGGCCAGACTATAGTTTAAAAAAAAACTATGAACAAATTCCTATGCACACTGCACATATCTTATTTTGAAGTAAAAAGACAAACGGGGGGGAAATACCCGGCGGGGCGGATAAATGTCCTTGGCGGCCGCATGTGGCCCATGGGCCGTAGTTTGAGGACCGCTGGTCTAAGCCTTCAGTGTTGGTCAGGGCTCGTTTCTGTTGGCAATCGCGTACGGACGCAGAGAAACTCGGTGTTCTTTGGGGGGTTACGCCAGTCGGAAACCACCAGCTGCTTCGTGGGAGAAAGTTGAGGCTGTCTGCTCCCGTGAAGAGCCGCAGTCTCAGAAACCCGCAGGGGCAGTTCTGCCCTGTCCTACAGGGTCACTGAGTCAGCCTCCACTTGATGGGGTGCAAAGCCACTGCCTGTCTCGTCTGAGACACACTCAGTGACAGCGCCGGTGCTCCTGTGTCCCCAGGCCAGCGGAGAGCGGGTGACCTTGACCATCGCCAGGCCAGGGAAGCCGCAGCCTGGAAATGCAAGCCGAGATGCGGGGGCCCCGAGCAGTAGCCAGCACCTGCCCCAGCAGCTGCATCCCGCCAGGCCCAGCTCCCACAAGGTGAGCCTCCGTCCTGCCTGCCTTCTCTTCCATTTCTGCACCCACAGCTCCCCTGGTGGGGGGTGCGGCACATGAGGGTGCTCAGCCAGCCTCCTGCTGATCTCAGTGGTGGCAGCAGCGGGGTTCTTAAGGTCTCCTACTGGGCCCCCTCCACCAGTGAAGAGGCTTCTTGGTGGGGAAGCTTCCGTGGCCGATGGGAAGTGGAAGGCCTTCCGGGACAGAAGGACCCGAGACTGGCCCTCCTTGGAAGGGGCCTTGTCTGCAGCTTGTCTGCATAAAACAGTTGGTCACAGAATTTGGGGAGCATGACCAGCCATGACCAGCTAGCCCCACTTATCAGCCAGGCAAGCTGCCCGCCACAGCAGTGGAGATGGGAGAGGGAGGCAGAGATCACCCGGCTGGCTTGGGACAGAGAAGAAGATAGGGGAGGAGCTGGGGACACAGACAAAGGAACTTTCTGAATTGATAAGGTTCCCGAAGTGGTGAGGGTCACCCAGCTCTGTAGACAAACACTGAGAACGCCGGCTTGTGCACTTCCTACGGTGGGTGTTTTGTCCTGTGTAAGTGTGTGGGTCCCAGTTGACTAGTGCAACAAATTCAGAGACACTCGTGTGTGTAAGAGAGAACTTTATATCAGAGCGCAATTATGCATTAAGAGAACAGCCCAGCCCAGTCCAGACCAAGCCTATATGTCCGATATCACCCATTATGGACTCACGCAGCCATGCAGTGATGCAGAATACAAGATCACAGGCCAGTGGGTGGAAAGTCATGTGGATCCAGTGGTGGTGGAAGCATCTCCACGCTGGCAGGGGTCCCCACAAGGCTCCTCCAGCTCCACGGCTCTGCTTGCATCAGTGTAGCTCCATGTGGCTTGTCAACAGGAAGATAAAGCAGAGAGAGAGTGTGTATGTCTCGTTTCCAGGGAGGAAGACAGAAGTTCCCAGAATCCTCAGGAGAAGGCCATGCCTGCACAGAGGCCTCACTGGCTGTGGACTGATGGACAGGCTAGACTCCACCCCTTTGCTCAAGTTGACAGGAGATGGTGTAACTGCCACAGCCCTTAACAAGGCAAAACAGGCCTTGGCCATGGTAATGGATCCCAACTCCACTGAACCGAGAGCAGTAGAACTGCCCCTCGGCGTCTCTGTGACAGGGAATCTTTACGGAAGCAGACTGCCTCCCCTTTCTCCCAAGGAGCAGCTGGTAGGTTTGAACTGCCCACCTTGCAGTTAGTAACCCAACACAGTAGCCCACAGCACCAGCAGGGCTCCCTAATTCTACCTCAGTAAAGCTGGTGAGGGACAAAGAAGTGTTGGTAAGTACCGTATATACTGGAGTAAGCCAACCCGAATATTAGCCGAGGCACCTAATCTTACCACAAAAAGCACCATTTAAAATGTGCTGGAAAACTGCTTCTACACGAGTATATATGGTCAGTGGTAACATGTTTCCTTTTGGGTTGTAGCGTAGAGGAAACGGCAACAAAAACTCACTGGCACCAAGTCGGTGCCGACTCCTCATGGCCCTATACACAGGCCGTAGCCCGCTGTCCCTCCAGGGCCCCCAGCTTACAGGGAGGCCCCACATCACTTTAAATCCTTGCTGCCACGCCCTCCGAATCCGCTTCCCTGGTGTCACCCCACCCACCCCTGCCCCAGGCCGTTTTTCTGGGCGGAGACCCGTGCCCCCTCCTTCTTTGGTTCTGGGAGTCTGCATCACTGGTGGAGGTGCTGCATGGGCTTTATCATATGACCTTGGCTGTTAGTCGGCCACAAAGCAGAGTCACAGACCAGGTGGTAGGACTTACCCAGCAGTGACAGCCAGCTCAGTGGCTGCTCCCAGCGCCATTGCCCGTCAGGGTCACTGGGTCAGCAGCAAGTGTACTTTGTGGTCTACGTGGAGGCGCGAGCATCACCCTGCGCAGTGATCCAGTGGTCAGTGCACAACTCAAGGCTGTGTCCAAACCCACAGGGCTGCCACACAGAGTGAGTCCCTGTGCAAACTGCACGCCCAAGCCCACGGCCACCACGTCGATGCCCACCCATGGTGCTCCCACGTCGGCCTCTTCATGGGGGCAGACAGCCTCCTCTTTCTCCCGCAGGGTGGCTGGTGGGTTTGAACCGCCGACCTCTCCCACCATGGCTCTGGTGTCAACTGTGGGCGTGGGATAAAGAACAATGCCTGGATATTGGTCCGTGAGGGCTAACAAATGTGCCTCCAGGCTCTGGTGGGGTGCTGCCTTCTCTGCACCTCGAAACAGCACACACCCCACCCCACCTGCAATGCCCAGCATGCTTAGGAAGCAAGCACTTCCATGGCAAGTACCCTTGGAGAAGGTTCCACCCACTAGGTCTGCCTTCAACAAGAGGACAGCAGCATGCTCCCGTGGCTTTTTAGTGTGGGTGCGGGAACGCCAAGGGAATGATCTCCTTGGAGTCTCTTCCCGGCCCCTGCCCCCACCCCGGGGAAAGCATAGCTTGAAGTCACAGTGTTTGGGGCCAGGCACACTTAGCTAGTTTTCTGAGCTTAACTACAGACCTGTCACTGATCTTTGGTTTAGTAACAACTTGAAAGAAATTATAACCACCGAGTGGTGGGCGATTCTGAACAAAGACTGTACCGTGTATGGAGGAGACCTATAATTTTGCCGTCATAACTAGAACTGTGAGAAAGGGGGTATTGTTGGAATAGGAGCGGTTTCGCTTAGCTTGTCCCTGCTTTACAAATTATATGTGCAGATGTCTTTAACTCCCTGGCTCCCACCCTGATCGGCAGCATGGGTGTCCACGCAATGTGTGTCTTTTAAAGACCGTTTTCAGACCTGCACCTAAGCACACCAACCAGCCTTATGGGGAACTCAGCTTGTGTGGCGATGTATCAGTTTTGCTTTGGCGACACATCTTTTTAGTCTCAGAGTTCTGCTCATGATTCTTGTTACTGTTCTGTGCCAGGCTTTAAATAACAGCTGAATTCACACACGCCCCTTCCCCCTTTATTAGGTATTCTGAAAACCTGGTTGGTTAGACCACATGGAATGAACTCATAAATGTTAATTGCTAGTTAGGATTAACACTCTACACTTGTTAAGCCAAAGCCTGATCTAGAAAAACAAAGGGTTTGTCAAGGTCTCCAAGGACATAGGACATTGTGTCTCTCTCCTCTCTCTCTCTCTCTCTCTCTCTCTCTCTCTGTCATATAACCCATCCACATGGCAGTAGCAGCTATCAGAAAGTAGTGTATGCCTCTATGGCGGAGACCCTGAGTGACTAAGCAAACGTTAATAGGGTGGGGAAGCCCCTTGAATCCTGCTGGTGTACTCGCTAGAGGTTGGTTTAATTCCTGAGATTTGATTGCACCAGTGTCCGGCTCATAGAGGAGGGAAGGCAGCTCCCTTTGGTTGATGGCATTCCTAAGGCAGAACCTGCTGAAGGAAGCCACTCCTGGCGTTTCCCTGAGCCATTGGGATGACCAAGTCGTGTGAGCCCACTCTATGATGCCAACACGGATTCTAAACCTGCATCCCGCAGGCTGCAGGAGATGTTGACAAGACAGGTGTTAGGTGGGAGCTGGTCCCAGGCACACCAGGTGGTTACTGCCCATAATTTCCTGGATAAAAACATTGGGTGTGCCTGGCTTCCAGGCTCGGGGGGGACAGCTGGGTCTGGATCCCAGAGACCGATGGAGGGATCTGTAAATGCTACTCTCAACCGTCACATGTAGGCCAACTCTCGAATAATGCCGGGAAAGGAGAGTTATATCTCTACAGGCATCCTGGTGGCATAGCAGTTATGTACGCATTGGGCTGCAATCCACAAGGTCAACAGTTCTTTTTTTTTTTTAAATCGTTTTATTAGGGCCTCATACAACTCTTATCACAATCCATACACACATCAATTGTGTCAAGCACATTTGTACATTCATTGCCCTCATCATTCTCAAAACATTTGTTCTCCACTTAAGCCCCTGGCATCAGCTCCTCATTTTTCCCCCCCCATCCCTCATGAAGCAACAGCTACTCCTCGGGAGAAAGAGAAGGCTTTTACTCCCATAAAACATTACGGTCTCTGAGACCCACAGGGGCAGTTAGTTCTACCTTGTTCCTGTGGGGTCGCTGTGAGTAGCCTCGACTCCAGGGCAGTGAGTTTGTAATTAACACGGTCTCTGTCTCTCTCCTGTTTGACAGGGCCCGTCATTCTTCACTCTGTCCACACAATGCTCAATGAGTTGCAGTGTTAGGGAACGTTTGCACATTCCCTTCCAGGGCCCACCTGAGGTGATCTCTCCCACGAGTTTGAATTCTCAGTGCGTCCTCTGTCGACTGTCTTCCTGATGCCCCAGTGAACTGCTAAGCAGCACACACCCCCGCCCACCCCACACCCTTTTTAGTGGGCAACTCCTCAGTCTGCTAGCCACAAGGTGAGCGGTTTGAACCCACGAGCCACCCTACGGGAGAAAATGAGCTGTCTACTCCCATGAAGGTGGACAGACAGCCTCAGAAACCCACAGGGGCCATTGTATTGCGCCCCATAGAATCTCTGAGTCAGAATCAACTCAGTGGCTGTGGGTTTTAGTTTAATTGACTGTTATCAAAACTTCAGAAAGAGTTTTTATTCCACAGACGGCAAAAAACAAAACCAATCACCACAAAACTAGAGTGTTCTTTCTTTGAGTTCCAATTATGGATGACTCTGAACAAAATTGCCTTGCATATTAAATGGTTTTCTTACCTCCACCTAGCATACAAAGCCAAGACGGTTATCATGCTTAAACTTAGCATTTCAGACTTACCTAGTAACAGGAGGAGGGTGTTCAAGTGCGGTGAGGTGCACACATACACCCACCACCACCCTCTGCCCCCGGCATGCCCGGCGGAGGTTGCTCGGCCCTCCTCTCTCACCAAAACAGCAGGACTCGGCTTCAGGGACAGATTCACCAGCACGAAATTGTACTTGCCTCACTTTGCAAGAGGAGCGCCCATTCGGACTCCAGAGAGAGCCTCCCCTGGGCAGGCGTCCTGGTGGGCGGGCAGGCGAGGGCTGTGGCAGCGTGTCCCAGTTGTCCCACGTGGGGGCATGCAGGTGTCCTTGCCCGTGACACGGCCATTGCTGGCATTCACTTTCAGGACCATCGGGAGGGCAGCTGCTCGGAGACAGCTTGGGCAGTGGCCAGCTTTGCAGGAGCCCAGTCTGCGGGAACACCGGGGATGTTGTTGCTGGATTCTGTCGATTCTCCCTCCCTCCAGTAGGAGCCTGGTGGCACAGTGGTTACCTGTGGGGCTTGTGACCAAGGTCAAAGGTTCAAACACACCAGCTGCTCAGAGGGAGAACACAGGCAGCGTGTTTGTGTTACTGTGGTGTCCACCTGGCAATAGCCCTAGAGATAAACTGGTCTCAACTCTGACCCTGTGATCCTGTGTTGGGGGCAGGTTTGTACCGGTGTTATCCTCTGCTCAGTAAACCCGCTGCCATCAAGTCAGTTCAGATGCAGTGACCGTGTAGGACAGGGTGGAGTTGCCCCTATGGGTTTCCGAGCTTGTAAAGTTTTACAGGAACAGTTTGCCTCATCTTTCTCCTTGGGAGCTACTACTGGATTCGAACTGCTGACTTTGTGGCAAATGCTCAGATGCTTAACCCACCGCACCACCGGGGTCTCTTATAGCCTTTAATTTCCACAGGTCTCACAGTACTCATTGCTGTTAGGTCGATTGTGACTCAGTAGCAACCCTGCAGGTAGAACTGTGTCCCAGTGGGTTTCCAAAATACAGTAATACATTTTTTTCTTCCCGTGCGGCTATATGCTTCATGCGTTCATCACTGCTTTTTAGCGATGCATAGTATTCCATTATATGTATGTACCACGGTTTTTTATTCCATTCGTCTGTTGATGGAAATTTTTGTTGTTTCCAACTCCTTCCGATTGTGAACTGAGCCGCAATGAACATTGAAGCACAGGTGTCTGGCCGTGGTTTGTTTCTTGCCTCTTCTGGGTATATGCTCAGTAGGGGGATTGCTGGGACATATGGTAGCTCAATTTCCATCTGTTTTAGAAATCGCCAAATCGATTTCCATATGGCTGTACATACCTACAGGTCCACCAGCAGTGGATGAGAGTTCCTATCTCACCACAGCCCCTCCAACACTTGTTGCTTTCTGATGTTTTTAATTGGGCTACCTTTGAGGGTGTTAGGTGGTATCTCATAGTTGTTTTGATTTGCGTTTCTCTTATGGCTAATGATTGGGAGCATTTTCTCATATGTTAATTGGCCATTCGGATTTCAGACTCTCTGAAACTTCTGTTCAGGTCCTTTGCCCACCTTCTCAATGGACAATTAGTTTTTCTCTTATTGTAAGCTTGCAAAGTATTGTAGATTTTAGTAATAAGGCCTTTGTCTGATGTGTCATTGCTGAAGATGTTTTCCCAGTCCGTGGACTCTCTTATTACTCTCTTGGTGACTTCTTTCGATGTACACATGTGTCTTATCTTCAGTATATCCCACTTGTCTATTTGTGACTCCTCTGTGTTTGTATCCTTCCCTATGTCCGATAGCCTATGTATTCCCTTTTCCAAAGTTCTCAGGTTTGTCCCAATTCCCTCATTAATGGCCCTAATTGTTTGGGGTCTTATCTCAAGGTCTGTGATCCACCTTGAGTTTATTCTTGTGCATGGAGTGAGGTAAGGGTCTTGCTTCATTTTTCTGCAGGTAGATATCCATTTTTTCCAGCACCATTTATTGAAGATGGCATCTGCTTCCCATTTAATATTTTTGGGGCCCTTATCAAAGATCCGTTGCCTGTATGCTGATGTTTTTATTTCTGGGTCTTCAAAATTGTAAATCTTGACAGCAGTAGAAAGCCATGTCTTTTTCCTGCAGAGCCGCTGGTGGTTTTGAATCACTGGCCTGGCATTTGGCAGCCGAACATGTAGCCCACTGTGCCACCAGGGCTCCCCACGCTCTGTGTTTGGTGTAAGGAAGATTAAATAGAAGGCTTCATCAATAACACATGTGACTCTTTGGACTGTCGCTCTGTCAGCTGGGTGGTTCGTGTCCGGTCATTGTCCCCCTCCTGTCTTAGGACCTCAGCCAATGTGTCACCTGCCAAGAGAAGCACATCACTGTCAAGAAGGAGCTGCATGAGTCCCTTGGCATGACGGTGGCTGGAGGCCGAGGCAGTAAGAGTGGCGAGCTACCCATCTTTGTGACCAGTGTGCCCCCCCATGGCTGCCTGGCCCGGGACGGCAGAATCAAGCGAGGTAAGCCAGGCTCTGGACAGTGTCCTGGGCACACCTCTGCCCTGAGGCAGACCCACGTGATTTTAAAAACAGAGTCTGTCTAGCGTCGTTAAGTCCTTTAGTCTATCCCCAGCAGTTCAGAGTACAAGATCTTCCTATAGGACAATCATGGAACAATTCATCGTGGGACTCTGCCGGGTGGGTGTAGTGGGGGAGGGGGACATAAAACGGTGTAGCCCTTTCAGGTACACTGTATAGCGGCCCCTCAAACAATTAAGCGCATGCTCACATAAAAATGCACCTCCCCAAGTGTTCACGGCAGCATTTTCCTGATCCGAAGAGTGGGGAAAACCTGGGTGCCCATGAACTCATGATCGGATCTGCAAACACGGTCCTTCCCTCGGGGGAGAACGTGCTGCCAGGGGGCTGAAGTTCAAAACGTCACCCTAAAGAGCATGTAGCAAATGACGCCCTTTCTCTGAAGTGCCCTAGGGTGCAAACCTGCAGCTGAAGGCGAACAGGTGATTGCCCGGAGAGGCATCACTGTGGGGGTGGAAAGGCTCTGGGGCAGATAGTGGTGGTATTGGTACACGTCTGATTTGTGCTGAAATGCAACAGACTCGCCCTCTCTGGGGGCGGGTGCTTCCAAAGGTCTGTGGAAAACTGCCAGCATCTTCTAATTCTTTTTTCCCCCGTGAACTTTGTAAGGCCCCTTCTACGTGTGAGTTGAACGGTGTGCGCCTCTGATGCCCGTTAAGCTGTCATTTGCATGTCTGTGTATAACAGCTTTATTGAGATCGCGAGCCTCAGTCTTAGCGGCTGCATGTGTAGGTACATTTTATATACAGAATACACAAGACCTGCTTGCCCAGTTGTGGGATTGGGGGGGGGGGGATTCTGAATTCCTTCCAGTTGCCTCCTTCGTGTACCCATGTTTTGTGCCACGTGACGAGTGTGGGCTTTTAACCACCTGAAAGACAAGTGGCCGAGTAGGGGAGGTGGGTTTCTGCATGCCCCTTCCATGGAAGGACAGCCTTCCCACAAAACGAGGCCTCTCTGCCACCATCCTCTTGCCCTTTTTCATTATCTGACCCGGCAGAGCAGCAAACACCCGGTCACCTTCTCCGAGGTGGGAAGAGGCTCAGACTACATGTTTCATTTCCCCGAACACCAGGGCTCTGCGGTATGAACTCCGGGCAGACCTCCATCGGTTTACACTGCGTGAAATCCGCTAGCCCGTCTGTGTCTAAACCTGTGTCAACATAGCAAATGTAGTTTATTAAAAGCTGACTTCTCAGAGCAAAGGGCAGGTACTTTTTTTGAAATGGAAAGAACTTTGGGAACAACTGAGGCTCATGCAAAGGTACGTGAGGGGTCTGGGCTCCAGGTCCAGTTGTTCCGGACACTCAGGGAGCCCCGGGCCTGCTCCCAGTGAGACGAGACAAGTCATTGGGACCCGCTGCCTTGTTGCTAGCCTCCAGCCCCCCATTGCCCTGTGGGCTCAGAGGTTGTTCTAGCACTCCACACTGATGCTGGTATGTTCTCAGTGAGTTTGCCCGCCCGTCCGAAGGAGGCCAGATGCAGAGGAGTGGAGACGCCCCAGGGCCTTCACTCACCTTGGGGATGGGGCTGCCAGCTGCCATCACAGGCTGTACCCGGAACCTTGCTCACTGCTCCACCCTCCGACAGGCGATGTTCTGCTCACCATCAACGGCATTGACCTGACCAACCTGAGCCACAGCGAGGCGGTCGCGATGCTGAAAGCCAGCGCCGCGTCCCCGGCTGTGGTCCTCAAAGCCCTGGAGGTCCAGGTGGAGGAGGATCCCGCCCAGAGCACCGAGGAACCGCCCGGCAGCTTTAGCGAAAATGAGTACGACGCCACGTGGTCTCCATCCTGGGTCATGTGGCTCGGACTCCCCAGGTACGAGACTGCCCTGCATCCCGCCACACACGGTGGTCGCTGCCAGGGGCCTCTTTTGGGGGGGTGGGAAACCCTGGTTTTCACTAATTGTGGACGGCTACGGTGGGGCCTCTGACTGATGGAAAAGCAAAATGAGAAAGAGCGTGTTACACCTCGGACTGCTGTCCGCAAGGTCAGCAGTTCAAACCCACCAGCCACTTCCTAGGAGAAAACAGAGGCCGCCTGCCCCTGTAAAAGACTGACAGCTTTGGAAACCCCAGTGGACAGTTCTCTCTCTCCTCCTGCAGGGTCACGAGCCAATTGGCTTAATGGCAGTGAGTTTGATTTGGTTTGACTCCAACCCGTGTCAAGTTAGAAAAGAAAAATGGCCATCTTAAAGGTGTTTTTAAAGGTCCATCGAGAGATAGGAGCGAAACCGAAAGGACATATTTGCTAAGGCAGCGAAGTTGTTCTTTGCGTTCAGCTCAGACCCGTCTGTGGGCTGGCCCTGACCTTGGCCGTGCGGGCCCATCCGTGGGCTGGCCCTGACTTTGGCTGCTTGGGCCCATCCATGGGCTGGCCCTGACCTTGGCCACGCAGGCCCTTGCTTAGGGAACCTGTCACTTCCCGGCTGGTGCTGGGCCTGTTCACCCGACGCCACTATTCCCGTGGCCCCACTGTGACGGCCCTGCTCCAGCTGTGTCTGCCACGGACTCGGTCCTCAAGGCCTGGACCCACAGTCAGCGATTCTCCCACACCGTGCGATTCTTCACAGAGTTGGTTTTATGAACAGATCTCTATTGTGATTAGGTGCTTACCCATCCGATTGCATATGATATAAAAGGTCGTTCTATAAAGAGGTGCCTTTTTTTGATGAAGGAGCCCTGGTGTAGAAGTGAGTGACGCATTGGCTGCTAACCAGAAGGCCAGCAGCCGATGGAATGCACCAGTCCCTCTGTGTCGGGGCAAGGGTGGGGGGCGGTGGACCCCTCTGCCCCGTGAAGATTCGCAGCTCATAAGCCCACGGGCAGCTCTGCTCTGCCCTGTCGCGTTGCCGTAGGTTGGAATCGACGTACTCACGGGTTTAACTTCGGGGTTTGGTGGTGGTCTTTCATCTTTTAATCCTTTAGCCACTTTTGTACGTAATTTTTATTGTCATTCACCGCTTGTCCCCAGATCCATAATGTAACTGTAAGTAGGATGGGTCTGTCTGTCTCCCCGTGACAGCCTCCCAGCTCACAGTAAGTAGCGTTGTACCTGTAGTGTCTCGATGCGCATGATCAAAGTTAAAATCAAGCTCACCACCATGAGGCGATGCTGACGCCAGGCGACCCTATAGGCCAGGTGGACCCGCCTCTGTGGGTTTCCCGGGACATCACTCTTGATGGGAGCACACAGCTTCCTCTTCCTCCCTAGGAGCAGCTGGTGGGTTTGAACAGCCTGGCTGAGGGTTAGGAGCCAGTACATAACCGACAGCACCTTCGGGGCTCCTTCCGCTTAGATGAGCGGGCTGGGAAAGCCTCCCCCCCCACACACACACATCATCTCCCTCACACACGCATGCCCCCCACAGCACTCTGCACAGCTGCCACGACATCGTGCTGCGGAGGAGCCACCTGGGCAGCTGGGGCTTCAGCATCGTCGGCGGCTACGAGGAGAACCACACCAACCAGCCTTTCTTCATCAAGACCATTGTCCTGGGCACGCCAGCGTACCACGACGGGAGGCTAAAGTGAGTGTGTGTGTGTGGGGGGGGGGGCAGGGGCCCAGCCAGCCTGTTATTGAAGCTGAAAATCAAGCGTTGCCAGCACACGTGCCCCCCTACACCCTGGCGGGTCCCCCTGGCAGGCGGTGGCCGGGACTGTTTCAGGAGGCAGCACATCTTGTTTCCTGCTTGTGCTTTGCTTTTAATGTGGCGATGAGAGCCCATCCACTGGCCCTGGCATCCGCTGCTCGTGCCTGGCACAGGGAGCCCTGGATGGGCCAGGGAGAGTCAGTGGCTTTGGAATTTGCTCCTGATGTTTCTCCAAGACAGACTGACAGACAGGTGCCGTCCATCAGCACGGACCAGTGGGCACCTCGTGGAGGACAGGATGAGCGTGCCCTGCCCCGTGTGAGCCTCGCAGTCACGCTCACCAGAGGAGGCCCTCGCTGTGGCTGTGGCACCAGGGACCTGCTGTCCCCACTGACCTCCAGTCGCCTGCCCTTCTGTTGACCCACCCCCGTTCTGCTGTGGTCCAGAGGGGATGCCCCAGCTGGACTTTTGAATGAGATCACCAAGCCTTTCTTTCTAGTCTCTCAAAGCCCGGAAGCCCCACTGAAACCTGTCCCCCATGGGCAGCCCCGCTGGTATTTGAAATACCGGTGGCATAGCTTCCAGCTAGGAGCCTTGGAGGTGTGGTGGGTTACAAGCTGAGCTGATGGAAAAGTTGGCAGTTCTTAGCCACCGGTCGCTCTGCCGAAGGATGAAGCTAGAAGTCGGGTCCCCTCGATAGCAGCGAGTGAGTGGCCCCCCAGCGTGGCAGCCACAGGCAGGCAGGCACAGACGGGCACTGGTCTCCAACGTGCCACCAGAAGGCTTCAAAACAAGGGTTGGAAACAGGGTTCAAAGATAACAGGATTTCTCCCCGAACTTTTTTTTTTAACCCTGCCTCTTTTTTATGTTTAAGATCATTTTATTGGGGGCGCTTATAGCTCTCCTAACAATCCAGACATCCATTGTTTCAAGCACATTTGTACATATGTTGCCATCATCATTTTCTAAACATTTGCTTTCCATTTGAGCCCTTGGGATCCGCTCCTCTTTTTTCCCCTCCTCCCCCGCCCCCCTTCCCACCCTGGTGACCCCTTGATAAATTATAATTTATTAATTGTTTTCATCTCTTACACTGACCGCTGTCTCCCTTCCCCCATGGTTTCTGTGTTCCTCCCCCTCTCTGGGGAGGATTATGCATCCATCATTGCGATTGGTTCCTCCTTCCTCCCCCACCTTCCCCTCACCCTCCTGGTATCACTACTCCTATTTCTGTTCCTGGGGTGCTTATTTGCCCTGGGTTCCGTGGGTTGGGGGCTCGTCTCTGGACTGGTGCCCACAGGCTTTCTGAAGCCCTTCACCGTGGGGGTGGCGTGGCCAGGAGAGGTGGTGGTCCTCCGGAACCCAGCTCACGCGAGGCAATGCTTTCATCCCGTGAACCCCAGTAAAAACACCGCTGCTTCTGTTTCTGCTTGCCCTTGTCCAGGTGCGGAGACATGATCGTGGCCGTCAACAGCCTGTCGACGGTGGGCATGAGCCACTCGGCCCTGGTCCCCATGCTGAAGGAGCAGCGGAACAAGGTCACCCTGACCGTCGTCTGCTGGCCAGGGAGCCTCGTGTAGACGTCTGGGCATCTGCGCGTTCAATCCAACATCTTCCGTTCATGGGGTTGTGACCGGAGCCCTCTCAGGGTCCCAGCATGTGTCCAGGTGGGGAACTTGTGGGCACAGCTGGTCCCCAGACCACTCCGAGCACCTCGTGACTTGAACGGCCTCCCCCATGCTGGCCGAGCCCCTCTGAGCTGGCACACAGCCTCCCATGGGCCCTGGTGAAATCACACGTCCAGATGCAGGCTCTCGGTTGGCAGAAGGTTGCCCATCATCATTCAGAGGGGCATCAAGCTCAGCCTGGGACAGGCCTCTGTCATACAGAGAGCCAAGCAGTCCCCAGAGCCGGCACCAGCCGCAAACCAGCGCCATGGAAGTGGGGGTGGGTGGGGAGGGGTCCCTTTATTCCGGGCAAGATCCCTGTCCTGTTAGCCATCGGTGCCAACATTTCAAAGACCCCTACCTATTTCCAAGGAGCTTCCTCCAGCTGACTTTGGCAGTAGCTTTACGGTCTCGGTTTTCAGAGGTGAGGACGCTGCAGCCAAGACCTGGTCAGCCACCCGAGAGTCAGACAGTGGCGGGCGGTGATTGCAGCTCAGTGCTGGGCATGCTGACAGATGTCCTTACTCAAACGAGGCTGGCACCTTCAAAATTCAGTTCCCAAGGAATGTTTTATTACATAGGATCTTCCTGAAGCAGTTTTTGCTTAAAAAAAAACCAACACACTGAGGACCCTCCCTTTCTAGAGTTTGTGTTGCACATCTCTGGGGTCTTGGCTGGGACCCTCTGTGTGTGCTTTATGGAATTAATCTCACGGTTAACCATTAAACCGTATGGCTATTTAATCCATACTCAACTCACTGCCAAGTAGGATAAAGAAACCCCTCTCTGATTATGATAGGGTTCTGAACCTTTTCCAAATCTTCATTTTCCTGTTATTTCTGTACTTTCATACTTAATGACTTCAAGTAGGAAGACTGAGAAAGTTGTTTTTTGTTGTTGTTTGGTTTTTTTGATTTGTTTTTATCTGAAGTGGTAGGTTGTAGGTATTCATATCCTCTCATCAGCTCTCAGTCACTAGATGAGAGTTTTGGGTTTTTTAATGATATTGGGAACTAGGACCAGCCCATTCCCTTTGTCCGTGGTCCTGCCTGGTTGTCCTCTGGGAGAGCAGATGTGGGCCCGGGGACCAGCAGCGGTACTTGATCCAGGGGACGCACGCTTGAAAAACGATTCCCTTTAGAGACCTCGTTTGGGATTGGAGTTAGTGTAGAAGTGACCTCTCTTAAGAATCAGTGTCCAGCTTACCAGAGAATGTGCTCCAGAACTCAGCAGTGTATATTGTGACACGTGACCACTGTATTTGCAAACTCAGCCCCAGCCTCCCTGCTGGGGGCCATCCTATCTGTCACACGCCATTGCTGACCCGGTGGGTCTTGCAGTTTGCACGGCACTCAGGCTCTGTCCCACGTGGTCGGCAGATAACCTGGAGCCGGTGGGGTGGCCCATGCAGTCTGTTACTGCCAGGTGATGGTCAGCTTTGGAAGCATCTTTGCATTTTGATACTGCCAGCTGTTCTAATTGACCTGGAGCAAATTGATAGTTTGTTTTTGGCTTTTTTTTCCTTGAACACCCAAAGAGAATTTTGTACCCTCCTCCACTATTTTTTTGAACCTCGTGTAAGACTATCGATTCTTGGGTGTGGATGGCCGTCTGCAAACTCCACCACCGCTACTTGGTTTCTGTAAAATGCTTCAGTCCAAGCCCGCGGTTACGCTGAGAAGTTCTAGAAGGAAGTTCTATTGGCCTGTTTGGTTTGCCTCCCTGATTTTTATCACAGAGACCTGGTCATCCTATGTGTCAGCTATGTTTTTGTTGTCCCCCCGCCCCCCTTAAACGAAGCAGTTCTCTGTAGCTTTTGGTCAGAATGAGGCCGGGTGATGGGGACACGTCTGTAATTTATTGCCACAATGGAAACACTTGGGCGTTCGTCATGAGCATCTACCACTGCATATTTTGATTTGTTCTGTGCCTTCCGTTTAAATTATTTCAGGATCCTCACACTGTCTCGAGTCATGGTGTGACGATCATTCAGGGCGGGAATAAACTTTCTGCCACCAAGATGACCTGGTCTCTCTCTTGGGTGGCCGAACCCTCTCGTCCCTGGAGTTATTTCTTTTTGTTCCTGCCACCCCGTCTGCATGCGCAAGAGCCCAGGCTGGACCCCTGGGGCACCCGCCCACCTCCTGACCTCCACCCCAGGGCCTGTCAGCACCCCTCCCCACACCTGTACCCACCAACACCCTGGTTGCTGAGTACCGCAGGTCAGCGTGATGGCCTTTCAGATCTGTGTTGTTGGGGCCATCAAGCCTCCATGGGGGTCCCGACTCATGGCGCCTCTGCACACAACGGAAGGAAACACTGCCCAGGTCTGCACCACCTTCACAGGTGTAACCTTGGAGCCCATCGTTGCAGTCACTGTCACTCCATCTCCTGGAGGGTCTCCGCTTTTTCCCTGGCCTTCCACTGCCAGGCCCGAGGGTCAGTGTGGTGACGCACCTTCCTCTCACCGTTACCTTTCCCAATGTTGGGTGGCGTGGTAGTCCAGGTGAACTCGAGAAGCAAATCCAGAGACACTCATCTGTGTGTAAGAGAGAGGTTTATATCCAAGAGTAATTGTATATTCAGAAAGCATCCCAGGCCAGTCCAGATCATGTCCATACGTCCGATATTAGCCCATAAGTCCGATACTCGTCTGTAATTGTACAGACTCACGCAGCACATGCAGTGATGCCCAAAGCAGGCAGGTCACAGGCCAGGGGGTGAAAAGTCTTGTGGAAGCAGCTCAGTGCTGACACAGTTCTCCATGTGGCTCCTCCAGCTCCACGGAGGAAGAGGAAGTTCCCAGAATCCTTGTGAGAGGGCCACGCCCACAGGGAGGGATCATCAGGCAGGCTCGCCTGATTGACAGGCTAGACTCCACCCTCTATTCATCCAGTTGACATGAGATTGTGTAACCACCGGGGAAGGGATCACATGGGACCCAGTTACATTTCTCTCGTGTTGCAGGGCTTACCCTCTGAGTGTAAGGGACAAGGAGAGCTACCTGTGCAACGATGGGTACGAAGAATTCAGATTTTATCCAACACATTGCTCCCCTTCCACCTGAGACCATCCCTGTGGCCAGTGAGAAGACCTGGCCAGCGTTGCCGCCTTATGATTGGGGCTCTCACCCACACCTGACCACTCCCAGCCACAGCAGAAGGAGCTGGGGACGGGGGGCTAAGTTGCTAACCAAAAGGTCAGCTGTTCCAGCCCCCCAGCCCCTCGCTCACTGGGAGGATGAGGCAGTCTGCTCCTGTAAAGACTGATGGCTTTGGACATTCACTGAGTCAGTTCTCCTGTGCCCTAGAGTGTCTCCAGGTCGCACTTGACCCAATAGCAGTGGGTTTGGGTGTCTCTTTGAAGGATTCAGGCCATAAGGATGCATTTTGAACAGTTCTGGGGACCAGAAGTCGAATCCAGGCGTCCACGGGATCAGTTCCTGGGGAAGATGAACGGAGAATTCATCAAGGCTGGCGGTGGCCCACAACCCTTGGGGTCCGGTAGCAGCACTTTGGTCCGTGCCTCAGTCTCCTCACGCCAGCCTCGGTGCATCCTCCGCTCACCAGGAGACCAGGCCCAGGATGTGGAGCCCGCCCTGCCCCAGCTGGGCCTGCCCTGAGCAGTCACACCTGCACGGCCCCTCCCTCGACATGGAGTCTCATTCTGAGGGGCTAGGAGGACGGCGACCACAATTGGTCTGCACCCCT